TGGGCTGAATTTTTATGTGTCAACAATTACCCCCCAATATGGCAGAATTAATAATAATTATTAAATTTTGCCATATTCACTTTGTGTTTCCAGCAACATTCGAGATTTTCAAGAATTTCAATCATTGTTTTCTTCCATAACTTGAAAAGGTGCGTCGTTTTGCAAACCCTTATAACCCCCAAACACGCCATTTCACTGCACCACTAAATCATGCCTCAAATTTTTCGCGTTTCTTCCACGATTTACTGTTCATCTTTTGCTTCCCTGCTACGTAACCCTGAAAAACTTCGTTCCATCTCAAATGGCTACTTCACAATCTCAAGCTGGCGACTCCTTTAGTTTTGATAATTTTCAGAAACTTCTGAGTCGTCCATACATAACTCCGAGTTTTCTCGCGCCTGCCGATGTTGAACGCAATGAGTTTTACTTAGGTCCTTTCTTCAACAATGCAGAGGCAGTTGAACAGGCGACGGTGGGTCAGCTGTTTCCTTGTACTCAAGGCCCTCCATTTCTAAACTATCTGCCGTTGGGGCCACTTCGCGAAAGAGGTATTCGCACTTGGTCTAAATCTGATGTAGCTTTCCGTGGGTGGCATGCTCGTCTTGTGGGTCATGGCCATACTAAGGCACTTTTTGATAGCGCTAGGATTTCTGATTTGTTACAAATCTCTATTCGCCCCCTACTTTTGAATCAGCACTCTTTTCGATTGCTTTGAGTTTTTGGTCTTCCGAGTATAATACCGTTATTTTCCCTCTTGGCCCCATGTCTATTACTTTAAGGGATGTTGGGGCCCTGGTGAATCTACCACCTTTGGGCGATATCATTTTTCCTGGTATCTTGGTTTCTGGTGGCGCCCCAAAGTTTGGTAAAAACTACACCGAATCTTATTCAAGCTTGCAAACCCTTCACAATCATTCGAGCGCTGAGCCTTCCCATACTGAGCGAGTGACCTTTCTTCTAGTTTGGCTTTGTAAATATGTTTTGTGTGTGCCAAGTATAAAGCCCTCCTTGAGTCATTTACCTATAGCGCACGAATTGGTGCGTGGCAGGCCTTTGAATTTATGTTCTTTTTTTTTGGCTGCCCTTTATAGAGGCATGGCCTCTCTTCAAACTCAATTGAAGAATGGTGCATCTCCCACTGGCAGTGGACCTCTTTGGTTCACTCAACTGTGGTTGAGATCCTATTTTTCATTGCTTGGTGCTCCATCAATCTCTCGCTCCTCTGCTAGCTGTTATGGGCTAGCCATGGAGCCCTTGGCTCCTGTAAATATGTCCAGAAGGGACATTTTTTCATTCTTTTATTCTTTGGATTCAATCTCTTCCTTTTTTCCTTTTCCTCCTTTTTTGACTCCAAACTATGTACATCCTTCCTCCACTATAGATAGCGCGAGCACCTCCCTGCTCATTTGAATCCAGTTTTAAACCGGGAGGGAGTTATTTCATGATATTTTGACTGGGACCAATGCCAAGGCAGGGGTAGAAATTTATGCTCCCCAATTTTTTGCTCG